AAAAATAAAAAAATTTAGATTTTTTGATTACCGGTGTTTGTGGATCGTCTGTATCTTCACTATTTGATTTAACAACATTATTATTCGTTTTATTATTACTTAATTGTGATGTATTTGTTGCTAATTTAGGCGATGCATTTGATGCTGTTTTAGTTATACCAAAAAATTCACTAAATTCCGGCCTATAAATGAAATTTATCGAATAAGAACAATGAAAATAAATGACCTTATCCGCAAAAATGTCAATTTAAATGAGATACTATCATCGGTAGAAATTGATAATTTGTCAGACAAGACAAAACGTAATAAATCAAAAGAAAAGGCAAAACAGAAAATAAAAAAACACGTTATTGTACATTTTTATTATTGCGTCGAAATTAAAAAAACAATTCTTTTAATCTTTCTATATATTTTGTTTTTCTTCTACTTACATATTAACTATTTGTGAATTAGTGGAAAGTTGTTGAACATAATCATTGAGACCACGTTGACGTTTTAATATGAAATCAGGTTCAAATGAGTCACCTAATAAACGACGACCGGGTAATTTTATATCGGAACGAACACGACGAAGCTAAATAATAAAAAAAGAAAATGATATTTAAACAATCAAAATAACATTATTATTAACCTTTTCATTTAAGGTATGAAATTCTTTATAACGTCTCCATAATTCCCATTCTTGACCATTGTGATTTACAGTTACTTTATATTTAGTAAATTTACGTCCATTTTCAACACTTGTTTGAGCATCAACAACACGAAGTATTAATGATCCTGTTGTACTAGCAGTGGAATTGCTCGCTGTCGAACTACTCATCTTTTCTTCAAACACAAAAATAAACGTAATAATACTTAGATAAAGTAGCAGATAAAAAAGAAAAAAAAAAGAAACTGAAATATGATTATCATCATCGTCATTGACAATGACAACAATGATGATGATAAGGTACAAGCAAAAATAAAAGACGTAAAAGAGAAAAAAAAAAAAAAAAGGACTAAGAACGGCAAACATTGACTTGCACGAGAAAGATTAGATATACTAAGACGATGGTAAAAGATTTAGGAGAAGAACAGTGAAAGAAATATTTTCTTGCATGATCTTGTCAAATTCGATATCGAAAAAGGAAATAAGCCAAATAATATTGTACGTCACTATCATAATACAACTAAGAGAAGACGGCAATACAATCGAACGCTATAGTAACGATAATCGTGCGAAATCCTCGACTCAATGTGTCGACAAGGCCATCTTCTTCTTCTTCTGTTCTTCTTCATCTTCTTTTTGTTTTCAACAAAACACCACACGCTCCAAACGCACAAATACACGCGTACAGAATGTAAAAGGACAATGACACGTGCATTTTCATTTTCTTCCTCTTTTACCAGCTAGCCATCCAACAAACTCTGCGGATGCTTTCTCTCTCTCTCTCTCTCTCTTATTCGTTCTACATGCCTTTTGCATTTCTCTCTCTCTCTCTCTCTGCTTCTGCTATTCTTCGCATCTATTTTATGTTTACTACAAATGTTAGGAACTCTGTTTATTGAATATCTTAAGTTTTCTCCTTTTCATAAGCTTAAATGTTTCACACATCTACTATCCATGCTTTTATACTTAAAATGCATAAATAATATGTTTTTTTTTTGAAGTATACAAAATGTTAAAAAAAGAGAAAAAAAAGTAATTAATTTATAAAAGGTGACAAAAGCCATTTGATAGACGATATTTTTGTCTGTTACTTGACAATTTAAATTTTTCTTCGCGTTTTTTTTTTCTTCATTCATTTGAATATAAATAGATTTTTATGCTAATTATTCTATATCAATGTATTATATCATGAAAGAAGAGAAACCTATTTTGTTGTTTGTCGTCGTTTTTTTTAGTCTTTAACGGAAATTATATCAGCTTAGTTAATGATTCCCTATCATCATAGACATCTGCTTCTTATTCTTTCTCACTAATCTTGTTTTTTAGTTTGAGAATTTGCGACGTGCAACCCATATTATATTTATATTCTATCGGATAGAAATAGCAATAAATGACAACCACAAAACTTCTGTCAGCAGCAATGGTTAAATATTATCGTCCATCTCAATAGAAAAAAAGAAAGACGAAGAAATCTATATCTATATCTGTATATATATATATATATATGACTAGTTGATTGATTGATATTTTGCATGTGAGAATGGTATATGAGAAAAAGAAAAATAAGAAAGATCTATCGATTAAGGATATTGAAAATCTTCAGAAACTTATCACAAATGTGAATATACACGTACCTAACCACTTTGGCATGTTTGTAATATGAGAATTGTGGTATAGAATCAATAAAATATAATCGTATACGGATACACGTGATCAATAGTTTCCAACAGTTAATCGTCGTACCTTTTTTCTTGTCACTTTAATGCAATAATGCGCCTCGTTTAATATTATGTGAAAGTGAACATATGTCATTCATCAAAAACATCGTTATTCATTTACTGTTTAATGATTATAGTAATAATAGAAAAAAAGAAGGATTCGCATAAAATGAGTAGAAGAAATGTAAGAGTGCATAAGTAACAGACGAGAAAAATCCGATTTAAAGAACGTCATAAACGTTAGAATAACATCTATCTTGTTCTTTTTTTTTTCTTTAATGTGCTACGCGTCAGATTCATTGAAACTACTGTTACACTTCGAGTTTTTTGATTTCCGGCGTGCGCGTGCTTCATGTCTCGTTCTGTACTTTTCTTTAGCAAGACTTATATCATAATAGTATATATATATAGTATTACAATGATTTGTCTATTCTATCTGTTGAGAATCCTGAGAAACTAATAGAAAGAAAGAATAAAAAAAAAAATGATCATAATATTATGAATTCTTTGCTAAATCAGTGTCATCGATCTAAATCAGTTTATATGCCAATAGAAATCTACGATCGATTTTGACATTGTTCTTTATCGATTGCTTGATTAGTATATGTAATTGATGTTGTCGTTTCTTCGCAATCGTAGTGATTGCATCCGCATTTCCATCCAAGGTTTCCGGTTACGCTACAGTTCGTCTCACTTTATTTCAGCATAGACCATGAATATACGCATAAAAGAAAATCTACTATATATTATTAGATTGAAGCGAATTACAATTCTCAAGAGATTAGTGGGAAAGTTCTCTAACGTCATTAATTATTTTAAGGATAAGGCTTTCTATTAATGTATGGACATGAATTTCTGATCTAAACGACTATATTAAATTGAACATACTACTTAATAGGTTGGTCGACATCGGTTGCATATTGTCGGACTAATCGACAAAGCCTTATAAAATATACATATATATATATTCAATATTACTTTTAGCATATTATTTGTAAAGATATTAAATACTTAATGTAGCATTTTTGCATACAATCATCTATGACTAAACTGTCTTTCATGTCATATTTTCCAAGTGATTAACTATGATCATGATAAATAATATCAATCGCATATCTTCTTAATTAAATAGTAAAAATTATGACAAAATAGGATAAAACGAGTAACTCCCATGAATACTATGGTATAGAATGAACTTATATTAATGAGATTAGAGTTTTTTATTTATCTGTTCATGTAATATATGACATTGTCTACTATGTTGCATAGATTGAATAATCTTTGTATTTGCATAGTCCTATTATTAGACTAAATTTTGAAAGAAGAACTAGACAAAAAGAAGTCAGCATTATTTTATGTTTAGAATTTTGTTGAATATGATTATTCAAAACAATTGATTATTAATATTACGATTTAATCAAAAACAAAATCTAACAGATAGCTTAAAAAAAGAATAAAATCAAAGCATGTCAAAGATCAAAAGGTTAAAAAACCCGAGTCAAATGACATACTTTACAAAACGAATAGAACTAATAATAGAAGAATATATGAGATGAAACATCTACCTCAAAAGAATTTGATGACTTACTTATTGTTGAGAAGCACATCTTTTAGTAGTTGAGAACTCTCTGTTTGTAGGCACAGCCAATATTTTTTCATATAACACAAATGAGAACACAATACAATGGATTATATTTGAATTTGTACTTTATGTTCGCTCTCTTCATATGAAGCACGCCCAACCACTTATTTACTCTTGTTTTTCTTTCACTCTCTAAGTCACATATAATTTCCATCGTTTGCTAACGAATCCACTTAGATATTAAGAAAAAGAAAAAAAAAAATGGAAAAGTAGAACGACTTAACAAGCTTTTCTTTGAATAATGAGTGTCAACTGTCTTCTCTTATTCAGTTCCGCTTGTCTGACTAAATTAGTAACGACAACTTAGCAGTTCACACACTAGATGAAGCACAATTAGAGATGAAAGATAAACATGTTTTTGTCTTCATTAGTGTTACCTTAAAATATGTATTAAATTAATAAATGTTTACATATTAATTTTAATATAAATGAATAAGTTTTTATCAAGTAAAAAAAAAAAAAATATTATACATTGAATATAGACTTACATGATTAAGTACTGACGATTATATGAATCTATGCAGAATTTGTCCTTGAAAGGAGAAGAAAGATTGAAAGAAAGGGCACACAAGCAATGAAACGTGAGGCGACGGATGATGCTTTTGGCTGATTTATTTCTCTACTCTATGTGATGTAGTAAATTATCATGCATGCTTCTTGTTTTTCTTTTTGTTTGCTTGTTGTCGCGATATTGACACAGGCACTAGTAACAGCCGAAGCTTTTTCTCGCTTTTCTACGTTATCTCACTCTTTTCTCTCGCTTATTTTTATGACTATTGTTGTTGTACTAACTGTCTATGTGGGTGCGTATATAGTGATTGTCGCCGAAGCAAAAGCAGTATTTATTGGGAATTATGCCAATGCATCAAACAGACCGCATTCCACATAAATGCATTCTAAATAATAGAAGAATCAATTTAAGCATTATAGTTCGATATCTGTTCTTTATTATTAACCAAATAATATTTTTAATGTTTTTTCAGGCAAGAAACTAATCTTTTAATGAATATTTAATATTGGTATAGATTTGCTTATAAATCAATATTTCATTTTTAAGTACACGTAATTCAGCTATAGATGCTTTTAATTGATTATTTAAATGATAAAAATCAAAAGCATTATTTAAATAAAAAATATAAGATTTTTTCGATAATTGTTGATTGGTATAATAAAGTAGGACAGTATTTTGCATGAGTAAATCTAAATGTTTGTGCAAAATAATATTATAATGAGTTTTACAAATAAGACGATAAATAATCGATGATGCTTTTTTTTGTAAATTGGTACAATATTGTTCATCATTTTCTATAAAAAAAAATAGATTAAAACAACGTCTAAAACCAGTTGCAGTTCATAAAGATCTATAGAGTACTTGTCATAATAAACTGTACATTAAAACAAATTTTAAAATATCAATAAAAATGAATTCACTATGAATTTTAGAGTTCAACAAAGGAAAATATTTGCTAATTAAACAATATTAATGAATCTTATTGAAAGTCTACCATGATTTTTGTAAAGGATGCATAATAACAAGTTGTTTTTTCACGAATATCATTGTGTTATTTGAAATAGTATTGAGAAATAAATTTTATATTAGATGAAATTTTATTGATAATAGCATTTCTAAGTATAACTTGATAATACGCATGATGATTAAGATCTTTAGAAGTATGGCATTTTTCGAAATGTTAGACGTCTAATTGCTTTCTTTCATATGGAATTAATCTTAAAAACAGGAAGTTCTCAGAAAAAAAGATTTACGTATCAGACTCAATAAAGATCTTTTTATTGATTATTCTCTTCAATAATGTTTTTACTTTTAGATCTTTACTAAATCTAATACACGAATAATTTTTTCGCAAAATGCCGTGTTTTTAAGATTCAATACCTAGCTATTAGACATGTAAAATTTCGAAAAATACCATGAATTTAAAAATAATAATCATCATATATATATATTATGAAGTTCTACTGCCAATTTCTATTATCAATGAACTTTTATTTGATATAAAATTTATTGTCGATGCTATTTTGAACAACAAGATAACATTCTGAAAAAAATATTATTATACATTTTGTATATGTGAGTATTAATTGAAAAAAAAATTCAGAAAAACATTCGTATATATTCATAATGAAATTTTGATAAATCTATTGATTTATCAATAAATAAAAGTACTACAATTATCGACGATAGACAAACTATTGACAAATATCTAGATTTTAATTAATCAAACAATCAATAAATTGGATGTTTTCTTTTCTACATAAATATTTTTATGGCAATATTATAATTGTTATTTCCGAAATTTTGATTAAATCTGTGACTATTTTTGATGAAATTTTTGTTAGTTTGTAAAACATCATTATCTCGAGTACAAATTTTAGAAGTTTCTTATGGTTATATTGATAATATGATTACTGTAATAAAAAATGTGGAATAGCATGTTTTATTATTTTCAACATACTTTTATAGATTTTGTTTTTTTGTACTCTCTGCACTAAACATATATCTGATACTCTATACTATGCTATTTAAAGAAAAGGAAATTTATCTTTACTCTTTATGATTGATTTTTTATTGGAATCGGTCAATATTTGTCGAGTAATGTGTCGTTGATAAATTCGTTGTTGTAAATAATTGTTTTTCTTTTTACCTTCGAATAATTCTTCTCGTAAATGAAGAATAAGTTGTTTCATATTTGGCTTATGTTGTTTTTCATATGATTTAATTTGATGAATTTCATCTAAAATTTTACTTCGTAAATCTCGAATTTCAGTCAAAAGTTTATTATAATGTAATTGATGTTTATTTCGAATTGTTTCATTTAATTCAATATGTTCACTAACAAATACAATTAAATATTGTTTTTTTAGTAAAAAAAGTATTATTTTTTGTTTTTCTATTGTATATTGTTGAAATTTTTTATTATATAAATCAATAGTATATTGTATATTGTTGAATTTTTTTGAAATATTTAGTATTTGTTGTTGATCAAAAAGCCATTTATCATGAAGAGAATTGATATATTGAATTAAATGTAATCGTTGTTTGTCTATTGTTAATATTTGATCTAATAATATTGAATGATTTTTAATCGTACGAGAAATAGTTTGTTTTATCTGTTTGTAAATTGCTTGATTTGAATCGAAATTTTTTCTTATTCGTTCTAATTTCATATTTAATAAATTTTTACTATTATTAGAATTATTTTTCTTATTTCTATTGAAAGAACAAAACAAAAGAAAAATTATGAATGTTAAGAAAATTAATTACTAACCTTTGTTGTGTAAATAAATTTATTTCATTATAAAATATTAATATATTGGATTTTAATGATAATTTGATATGATCAAATTGTTGAAAAAAAATTCTTGTATTAATCATACATTGTTCTATTTTATTAATTCTATTAAATAATTTTAATATACGATTTCGATTCATATTTATATGTATAATCCATTTATCATGTAACTTTTCATAATTAATTACTTTTTGTCGTTGTTTTTTAACAAGTAAAGAATATTGTTGTGTAGTATTTTCAAGAATATTTATCTGTTGTTTGAGATTCTGAGAAATAATTGAAAGTTGTAAACGATGATTAATTTCTTGACGAATATTTCTTTTAATATTATTTTTCGATTGATTAATATTTTCATATGTATAAAGTATAGTATGTTGAAGATATTGATCACGTTCATGTTCAAGTTCAGTAATTTGATTCTAGGAAAGATAAATGTTAATTTTTGTGTTTTATTAGTAATATTTGTTTTTTTTTTCTCACGTTCAATCTGTCTAGTTGGTGATGATGTACAGATAAAATATATTCTTTTCTTTTTAAATCAATTTTAAGTTCAGTTAAGATCTGAAAAATTTCATTTTTTATATTTTTTTCTTTTTCAATTTGTTTTTGTTTTCTATGAATTATTTCGATGAAATTTTCATGATTTATATTCAATTGTATTTTTTTGTTTTCATTCATTTTTAGAATCTTTATATGATATAAAATGATATTATGTAACTTTTTGTTTTGTTTTTGTAATTCTATTGATAAATGTTGCTGATTATTTAATTGTTCTTTAATTAATTGATGATCAATATTTAAATAATCTTGATCAATTGAAATGGAAATGTTTAGTTTATATTGAAGCAGTTTATTTAATTGATTGTCTTGCTCATGAGTTGCTTGAAGATTGAGTGTTAACTGGTGTTCAATATCAATTAATTCTTTTTCAGCTTTATGAATTTTTTGTTGAATATAATAGACTTGCATTTGCATTGAAACAACAGTAGCTTTTTTGTTATTAAGTTCTATTTCAAAAGTATTTCCTACAACACTTTTATGCAAAGTTGAACTATGATAATTGAATTTAAGTCCTAATCATGTTACACGTACGTGTTATTTGAAGATTTTTTATGAGTAATTTTAGATCATCAATTGTTTTCATCATTGATTTTAAAGATGTTGATGAAGAAACATTTGTAACAATAGTTTTCATACTACTACTTTCTGAATTTTTATTTTGAATTCTATTGTTTAAATTATTCATTATTTGTTCAATCTTTTTTAAGTTGTTCTGTTTTCTATTATATTTAGTGTAAAGATCGGTTAAGACTTGATAACATCGTTGAAATATATTACGAATTTGATAGATGATCTCTTTTTGATGTGAAGCTATTTCCTTATCAAGACTATGTACAATTTTACGTGTCCGTTTTTCTTCCAACATGAGAACTCGTTCATTAGTCATCGAACAATCAAAATATCGATAGAGTGATGTCCAATATTTATAACAGCGATCTTGCATAGCTTCATCATGAATTTCCGAGAGAGCATTAAGGAAATCTGTATAACGTACATCCACTGGTACAATATAATCATCATGAACAATTGATGATAATTCATTTGTTCCAGACATAATAGTATTAAAGTCTTACAAAGAATAATATTAATATTCTTAGTAACTATATATGAATACAAGTTATTAAAGGATACGCGCACAGTATTTATAATAATATAATTGTTAGTTAAACATTTCTGCCTGTTGTTTTTCTTTTCTTTCAAATATATAGAAATCTTCTAATAACTTACGATTATAACTTAGCAGCCAATGTCATTGTCTTGTGACATTGTTATCACCAATATATACATCACAGTATCTATGGAATTAGATCTAATCAAATAATTTTACTTAGAATTGAAAACAAACACATATTAAAAGAAAAGAACGATTGTAAAATTAAACTTTAGATTCTCTTTTTCTTATTTCATAAAGCTTTATAAATAATTATATTCACTTTCACAGAAAACATCGTTGATCTTGTATCGTTCGATACAATTAAAGAAAAACATATCGAACAACAAGAAAAGATTATTTATAAGAATGTAATGAGTCATTTAAATATAAAATATAAAAACGAACTCAATAACACAAAAAGAGCGTTGGGTGAATTGTGGGTGTGGATATTCACTTCAACACTGCCGAAATCCACACCTACACCCACACCCACTCACAACGTCGTCCATGAATAATTACGAATTTTATTATGTAAAATTTCTGTAATTTAAATTAATACGTACAATGTCGTCCACAAAAAATATAAATTGTATTCTATAGATTTTTTTAAAATTTAATGTAAATAACGTCGTTCATCAGAAAAATACATTTTACTAAATAAAATTTTTTTTTAATATGAGTTTGTAACAATCTTACAAGATCTTATGGATATATTATATGGCCGGAGACAAAAAAGTGGGCCAAAAGCAGAAGTAAACGGTAGAACAACGATGTATTTACTAACGTACACGACCATTGACCTCGCTATAGACAGTACGGGCAAATACGACCACCTTACTGCCCGTGTTAACATGGGGTAATACGGCGCCGTAACGGGCCGTATTTCCATCGTAAACGACAGTAAACGATATCGTAACGGTCTCCGTTTTGACCGATCTGGGTACTGGCATCAATCTGTTTCTTTCTTAATATTTCTTCTACATAAACGTACGTTGTAAAAATACTGATGAAAATTTTCAGGCACAAAGCAAGGACAATCTGTTGTTGTTGGCATCATATAGATGAAGGTGTAAACCGATGAAAGAAACAGAATTTTTCTTTTCCTGCTATTGATAGAATTTAATAAGTAAAAACAGTTGGTCCCTCTTTCTTTAACATAAATTGATTCTTCTTTTAAAGCTATATTTTTAATGTTTCGTAGGAGCAACAGATAAGTTTCGTGACGCTATTTTAAAAATTTTATTATTTGTTTCATTTGAAATAGATAAAAAACGTTTAGATAATTAGGATATGCAAAAAAAGCAGTGACACGCCTATTCACTCGCTCACTGCAAGTCACTTTTGTCGTTCTATCACTACCGACTGTTAACTATGCAAGAAAAAATTGCTTTGTTTTGTTCTATCTATTATTTACACGCGAAAACCAAATTTTTAGTTGCATGGATAATATTCTATAGGGACAAAGTGACGAAAGTGACTCGCAGTAAATGAGTGAATGTGTGTGTCACTGCTATGTTTCCCATTCCTAATCTTTATTAAATTTTCAATTTAAGAATAAAATAATATTAATAAAATAAATTCTATTTCTTGTTATATATTTTAGAGTAAATACAACGAAATCTCATGGCGACTTCTAATATTGAATCATCAGAAAGTGTCTCGCCATCATATATAACGGTAAATTTCGATGTTAGCGCCGATTTTAAAATGGTATGTCTGGACGTGGATATTAATAACTATGCTGATTTTTATAATGTGGAAGAAAACAATGTTGATAATATTTCTAATCATCTTCAGTCATTTACCAATATCGATTCATGTATTCAATATTCAACATCCAATTGGTTTTATCGTATTTTCTTCATCGTATCTGATCAATTTGCATATAATATATCATCAAAAATGAAAAATATGGATCATATTCTTTCGGTATTCATTAGTTGTGAGAATATCATATCAGAAGACTTTAAAACTCTTTATCCTGAAAAATGTCGTGGTATATTTACCAAAAAAGAATACTTCATGACAGATATAATGGAACATATATTTTTGAAAACTTCGATTTTCTCGATTAACAATGTTTTTCAAGAGGTCAAAAAAGAAAAGGGTCACTAATTCCTTCGATAGATACAGATACATTTAGTGTTCTAACTGACATAAATACAGCAGCACGTTCTTATTATGAAGATTATTCAATATCATTTGACAAACAAATTATGGAACAAATCGATCTGTTTTCAGAAAAATATTATTCCGAAGAAGCCATTAAATGGTATTCAAACGATTCATTTCTTTATAGAATAGTTAATTGAGCTCTTCGCACTCGATTAACTGAAGTTATTGACAAGTTTTGCTTCTTTGTTAAAAATTTGGAAGAATCACTTGATTTGCACTTCGCAAAACAAATATTTGATCAATGGTTTTCTTCTTGTTCATCAGATAATAAACTTCTTAATTCTGATGTGGAACAACTACGATCATTTGTTGGACAAAACATTATAATGAGCCAGTAGATATCGACAAAAAAAATATTAAAGTAGCCGAACCATTTTCGTGTGAGGGACAAGTTGATCAAGGATATGAATCAGTTCTCTATAATATTGATATGAGTGTCATCTATGAAAATTATATCGACAAACCGGATCCATCTATCTTTTATTATGACATGAGTCATATCAGCAATTTTCCAAACGAGGAAGAAGTTTTACTTCGGATTGGAACTACTTTTAAAGTAGTAAGCGTTGAAAAATTATCCGATAATATATGGCATGTTAGGTTACGTCTTGAAAAAGTTAATGATGATCGGGCAAAAAACATAGTTCATCGAACACCAATTGAAATTGTTCAATATTTTTTCCGCAAAGCAAGTCAAAAACAAAAAACTAATGTGAAAAATATTATTAGTGAACGTTTGTCTTCAAATACTATAGTCAGTATGAGTGTTTTTATTCGTCTTGGTCATTTATTTAAACATCATCCTCGAGAACAACATCAGTATTATCAATCTGCATTGTCACTTATACTTTCGAATGAATCAACTCTTTTAGAAGTTGGTTATTTGGCTATTAGAATGTGATGTATTTCAAGTGTTAAAGATTGGATATTAATATCCTTGAATATTTCTCGACAGACAGTGCTTCACGTTGATGGTAATTTTAGAAGACAATTACATTGTGAACTTGTTCGTATTGATGAAGCACGTGGAGATTTTTTTTTCCAGCTATGATACATTACCATGCAAGCTTCACTTATCAAAAGACTTTTCTTTTGCTGATTTATTACCTCATATCCATCTTAATGAAGATATTCAATTGTTAAATGATTTTTTTAACAATGTCAAAGTAAATCCAACCGATCTTTCAGTTGAGCATATATTCATCAAGACTTTGACAGATAAACCGTTAACATTAACTTTAGAAAAAAAATATGACAGTTCGTCGATTGAAGAAAATGATTCGTCATAGTTTTGTCATGCCATATTCAGAAAAATATGATTTTCATCTTATTCATTTGGTAATAAGTCTCATCGATGAACAAAAGTCACTTGATGATTATCAAATAAACGATCAATCTGTTATTTATTTAATTCATGGCCCACGCATACAACAAGACGAATATATGAATCGATACAAGCAATGTTTATATGAAAATATTGCTCTAACTGGAAGCGATATCATTCGGACACTTACTGTCAAGAAATTGAGAGGAAGAAGAATGCAGACCAATCTTCAAAAAGAGATGGACACTGCCATAAACCTTCGTCGCAATATGTATCGGAATGGACAGGTGAATGCTGAAACAGCAAATAGTGCATTTCACCAATTCTTTCAAGAAAAACTTGTCTTGAGCCAATATGACGATGATGATGATGCAGATCCTGATCATTTATTAGATATATCGGATTCTTTTACTGACGAATGCATACAAAACCTCGAATTACTATGTTTGGCTTTTCATGATCAGACGAATATTGAAGAAAATGATTGTGATGAAAATGGAATTAATCAAGCTGAACAACTAGCGAATGACACTCTCTTATGTATCGATGAAACATTATTTCTATCAAATTGCATATCCTCTTTAATAAATATCTTATCATATTAAATTCAATGAACTATTATTATAACTTTAGGCTCTCAACAACAAATTATTAATAAACAAAGGAATTTGATATTTTCAGTTTTTCTTTGGTTCGATCCCTTTTCCAAATTTTTATTTTCTTCTAATAAAATTTCTTAACCTCAATCTCATAGAAAACATTAATTACTTTAAAATCCCATATTATGACAAAGAGAGTGTGAGTGATGTGAGTCTCAGCAGCTACTTGGACTTATTTTATCGAGATTTATTGGAAGTTTTCAATAAATCTCTAAGCATTTTGAGATAAATTCCATATGATTTCTCAATACATACAAGGTGTAGATGAATATGTGGGTATAAGTGAGGTTGTGGGTGTTAATGTGCTGAAATATAATCATAGTTAATAAATCCTCAATAAATAAATAAACCCCACAGAAAAGATAAATCCCTAAAAAAATAAATCCTGGGAGCCCCTGATGGATGTAGGTGTATTCATTTCAGCCACATCCACACCCATCCCACGAGTAGGTACTTATTTACAGTAGAAAAAGATAAACATAATCGCACTACAGAAAAACCATTCATATTTCATGGTTTCAATAGTTGAAGTAAAGCGATATCCTTGATCTAGGTCGCTGGTTGTGAAATTTCGGTGCTATAAGAATGTCCCTACAGTAAGCATTTAATTAACTTTTAGTTGATAGTTGGATCAAGTCAGGACAATAATTTGAGAAGCAGAACCGCCATATTACACAGTGTGCTGTCTTAGTTTTTTATTTACTTGATAAAATGAAGCTACCGTGAAAAACATGTGTCATTCATTAAGAGAAATACAACTCAACCGCAAGTTTTCGAACCTGCTATTTCTTCATCTACAATTTTTGTAATTGTTGCTGTATTGCTAGAACAAAAACACATACAACACTTAGGTTACAAATATATGTTACCTAATGACTCAGTTTCAAAGTATTTAGAAGAAAGAATAGTAAAAGTAATGGCAACATGGTAGGTATAATATAGAGAAGGCAACAAAAGAAATATTTTGCAAAAACCATAAGTTGTCATTTTCTTCAAGTAATTTTATATATTACCTTGTTACCAGCATTGATGTTTTAAGAATAACCATTTATTCGAACAGAAGAGTGCTTTATTCCTTACTCTATCACCTCACATGACAGAAATGATTAGTTACTGTACATAAATGATTTTTCTTTTACTTTGAATAGCATGTCTTACAAAATATGTTACATTATCATTGGTAAAAAGTCGAATAAAACGAGATTATATATATTGATTATAACTATTCTGACATCAAAGATATTTTCGTCTATGAATTTGTTTGACTGAAACATGGTTTAACAAAAATTCTCTATGTATGTTAAATTACATTCCGTCATATCGAATAAGAACGAATGAATGATAAGGGTAGTTTTGTAGAAATATGTGTATGTACATTATGTAACACTACTTAAATTCAGTGAATCATGGGTCATCTAACTGATGTTCAACGATTTTGTTTTAACGTGTTCAAATAAGGAAAACCTGTTCATGCTTCTGCTTTTCTATTGATAATCTTTTAATCAATTTATAATTCTAATCATAACAATTTTAATTTTTCTGATCTATCGTTGTCGATTTGTATAGTTTTCTACTACCAAAAGTAATGAATAGATGTTATAAAATCGGAATGAATATGCTATTATAATCGTCACATATTCATTTAGTTACGCTGAATGATTCTAAGATGTAGTTCTTTGTTAATTAGTATAATTATTTGTGATAAACAATTTTTCTAAAAGCCTGGTTCACAGTTTCTACGCAATATATATATTTCAGAAACAATATTGAAAATTTTATATTTATCTAATTTTATTCGAATCGCGTTATTCGATGAGAAACGAGGATAAAAATACAAGAGAAAATAAGGCATCTTAAAAAGGAGTTTAAGTCGAAAAATAGAAATTCATAGAAAAAAAAAATCACATCGTCCATGAACGAAATAGTAAAGAAGAAATTAGTTCAACAACAATAAATAAATGAGCAGTAGACATTGAAATAGTGTTTGCATGCGGTTCCATCGCAAGCCAATAAGAATCATTTGTATAGGATTTTATCCAATCTTTGTAAATAGCTACACGAGTATAAAGACCAGCATAGGATGGTCGTGCACATCCAATACCATTACTTACTAGACCAACTAATACCCATTGATTACTTGATGCAAACATCATCAATGGACCGCCAGAATCACCATCACATGCGTCTATAAAAAGTATGGCAACAAGTTAAATTATAATAACACAAAACAAGTAAAAAGTTACCTTTGGTATGTCCAGGAACACCAGCACAGAGTTGTGTGTTTTTATCCTCTATCAATGATGCACAAGTTGGTGCTAGATAGGCTATTGTTTGCAAGGTAACCTGTTGAAGATTTGTTGACAAAGAACCACCTTCAGACAGTCTACCCCATCCGACTACAACAACCTATGAAAAGAAATGGATTAATAACTATCGAAGAGAAGAAGAAACTTACAGTCGTATTAACCACTGGCCATTCATCTGATGCCAAGGTCAGTGAACTGACGAGTGGCATGCAAATTCTACTCACGTGATCATCACTCATATTAAGAGGAGAAGTAAGTTTTAATAGAGCAATATCATTGACATAATTGCTACTGTTATAATGGGGATGTAGAATAATCTCTGACACCGTTCGATTTTGAGTACCGAACAATCGATTATTGGATCCTGCATAAATAATAACTGACGAAGCAAACCGATTATCTACACAATGTGCTGCTGTGATGACCCATGAATTTGACATTATTGATCCACCACATATGGGACCATCAGAAATAAGAATTGATACAGCCCAACTCCAAGTTGATATACCAGCGTCTTCTCCACCTACAATACGGCTAATTGAGACTGGATTCGATGAACATCCACAAGTGGCGCTTGAATTGCATGTATACACTACTTGATCAGTCGGTTGAACAATCATAAGTAATAATATAATCCAAAAGAATGTCATGATCTTGATTTTGATTTATTTTATCGCGTAACTGAATCTAGTCGTTGAAATGACAAATGTAAGTTTCATATAAATGAATATTAATAATAGAGTGATGTATCTACATATATATTCCGTTTTCTGTCTCATTCATACTTTTTTCTCTACACATCATAAGTACCGTCATGATTATTGAATTGCGTAGTTTCATACTAATGTAGTTATTCCTCACAGTTGTCAAGAGAAACCATAAGGAATAAAATAAACTCTTTTATTCATTTTATCCTAATTGGTTCTTTTCAATCTGATGATGCATTCATAAAAGAACTAAAAAAAATAATGTCTCGATCAATTATACAACTCAGCTTTCGTCAACATAGAGTATTTGGGTTATTTTTTTAAGTATTCAATTGTAAACTTACTTCGATTACGAAAACAATCTCGGTTAAAAATGAAGCTTAGAAGCACTTTATATATGTGTTTTGCAAATTATAACAAACAAGAACTTTACAAAAATATTTATTTGGGTTTCATTGGCAATTATTTGAAAAAGTGGGTAAGAGATGCGAAAAATATACTGAGTTTATTAGATTAATCTCTAAATATTGTGACTTTTTTTGATCAATTGTCTTCTGAAGTATTCTCGAAAACTATAACTGACTTTTTTTTTATAAACAATATATTTCTTATGTAAAGTGTATACTTTTGTTTATACCACAGTGAGATTTTCATATCGTTTATAAAAATGAAGAATTGACAGTGTTTGCATCGCAGACGTGAAGAAAATAAATTGAGATCATCGTTACGAAGTTCACAGGATGATCGAGATAAGGTCCATGCTTACATTGATTAGAATTACAATGTTTTTATGTCAGTTTTGTTTCAGTAAAATAGATATGTGAAGACCATATCATTTTTTTACAGGTATTATTTGTATGTTTCTTCGACGATTAATTTTCATTTCACAGATTCCATATTAGTTAAAGATAAACATCTAAGCATGCTAAAGAAAAGATGATGTTTAGTTAATAATTTCATTTATATTTATATTAAAATAATAAATACTTGAATTTGATACTGCGTAGAATTGAAACCATATTATCGATAAATTCATCTACTTTATAATTTGTTAGCAACTGAAACGAGTGACGTATATAAATTTTTTTCACAAATATACTTTGAAATACGTGAATCATGGAAAAATGAAGTTTAGAAGTTCACATAAATAAAGGATAAGAAAATGATGATGCTTAGTAATTTCAGATAGTTTATAACGAAAGAGTGCGAAAGTAGCAGCAATATCATTTTGTAATCATCAGTTCAATAGTTAGGAATAATACTGTTCAAGACACAGATTATGATGAAAGATAGTAAAAAATTGATTGACCAGTTCTTTTTTCAATAATTTTAAGCTTGTATACTCGAGCTCGCTTTCAAAACTACCCATAATTTTGCATACTATTTGAAAGCAACAAACAACGGCCATATCTGATAGGTATGCCATTTTTTTCTGAGTGAAATTGTTGAGAGCAAATTTACGTACTCTTGTCAAAATAATCATCAAGTGTTGGTAAAAAAAAAATCATGCTTTAGTTTTGTCTATTCGTCCACACTGTTTCATCTCTTTATTCGAAGTATATTTCATTTTTTAAAACAGTGCAACAAAATTGTGCTACTTGAGCTAAATTTATCTCTTTCATGTTTTATTGAAGAACAAATTCAAATTTGGATCCTCGTTCAAGGAGAAACGTTAATTTTGGTCTGTAAAGATAAAGTGGGATAATTCAAAATTTGAAATGGATGATTCAGTTGATGAGTAAATGACTTTTTTCGTGTTATATATAAACATCTCACGTATTTATTTCGGAGAAATCAAACAAATACAAACGATTAGGACATGATATTTCTTCCTGAAAGTTTGTAAAAATTTGAGCGAAAAAAGAATATGAATCATTTTTGAAGCTATTTACAATAACCGATTAATGATGATTCAGCAAATCGACATCTTTTGGCTAGTTTCCATTATCCAAAAAAGATTCTTTTGGACTACCCACGAAAAAAAAAATTGGGTGTGGCTATGCGTGTGGGGTATGAGTACGGGCATGGCAGATACACCCACACCCACTCACACCCACACCCACACCCAACCGGGTTGAAACACTTGGAACACGCTCCTGGACGAATATGGGAAGGTTTTACTCGAATATGGTGCTAACTTCACCTACGTGTCCATTGATCTGTATATATGTTTCTGTTCCTCTACCAGTAAAATAATGTCAAATATCTCCATTTTCACCTGCTTCATAATAGATTTTAGCAGATTGTTTAAAAAGAGCAGATATTTTTCTTACTCCTGAAGAATTTATTATTTCTTTTTCGTCAGTATCTGAATTGTAAACAGTTATTTTTCTTCTTTTACGATCTGCTAACATTTTTATATCAGCTATACCTAAAGCTCTATCTTTATCTTTTGCTTCTCTCAAATAACTTGCAGTAATTTGTTTTGGATTTCTAATATTATTTTGTAGATCTTCTCTTTTCACTCGATCTTGTTATTCTTTCTTTGAATCTTGATTTATTAGAGATTGTTTAGCAGCAATTTGACTTTCTGCATGATTTTGTCTATTTTGATTTGATTGTTTCAATATATTAGCTGGATTTTTTTCCATTACATTGTAAATCAACCATTGTCTTTATTCCTTGTACAATGGTTTTTCCAATCTGTTTTAATGTTCCATTAATAGCTTGTCTTACTACTTTATCTAATTCTTTTGTTAATTTAGTTGATATATCTATTCTCTAATGATTCTATTCAATTGTTCTGCTCTTGTTTCGACAAGGTTCTGATTAATGTTTTTTCTATAAATATTCTGATTTTCTTTGGTAGTACCTTCAATAATATCTTTTAAAGTATTATAAAGACATGTTCGAACTGTAAGACAGATTGAACTACAGTCCACAACTTATTAATGATATCTATTGCTTTAAGAGTAGTAGCAGCTATTTTAACGTATTTTGAATTTGATTTTTTTAGACCATCAGCAAATAGATGATAACTATTTCTTAAAGAAGAGACAACTCGTGTTCGAATATTATCAAATTGTTGAGGTAATAAAATATCTTTTCCTAATGTTTTTTCTAATATGTTTTTTCAATTCTTCAAAAGATTTTTCGAACTCATCTTCATTTTTACTTTGAAGATAAAGAGGTTTCTATTTTATTATTTATTAAACCGATTATTCCCTTTAATAAATTTTCTTCTATTTTACTAACAATCTTTTGTATAACATTTTCTTGAATCTGTTCCATAATTTTATCCGTCAAAAACTTTCCAATTCCAGCAGTCAACATAGAGAGACCGAAGCTAATTGCTTTTTGTATTGCCCATTCTTTCCAACTAAAAATACCTGATATTAAAGCATTGCCTATCTGAGTCAAACCAAAGGCTACTAAAACAGCTCCGGCAATGACTTGAACAAGTCCTATCATTGCAACGGCAAAAGCATTCCAATCCCACCAAGATTTATCTTCTTCAATAATCAAAAATTTATTAAGATTAAAACGTTCAAAAAAATCTTAATTCACTTGGAACATTTTCTTGATCTTGAAGATTTATAAAATCTTTTAAATTAGCTTTTAAATCTTTTTTAAATGAACGAATATCTCCTTGTAAAGACAAAATTTTCGACCAAATTAATTCTTTATCATTTTCAAATTGAATATTTTTTAAAATTCTTTCAATATTTCTTTTAATATCTACATATTTATATTTAGCAAGTCCACCAGACTTTAAAATATTTTTTTCTTTTAGATAAATTCGAATATTATTTCCTTCTTCTTCTTTAATAGTAAATGGTAAATCTGTTTGATAAAAATATTGATTTTGTTGACTAATATTATCTTTTAATTCTATTAAAAATGTTTTAAGATCTTTTGTTTCATGACCATTATCATTAAATTTAATTTTCGCATAGTTTTCTTTCTATTGATTGTTCAAATAGAGAAATATTAACTTGTTATGGATCTATTTTATCTTCTAAATCTTTCCAAGCATTTTCATATATCCGTGATAATTCTTTTTCTATTCTATTTATATTTAAAATTTGCCATAATTCTTCACTATAACAAACAATATCGTCGAAATCTTTTTTTTTTCAAAATAAGATTTACTATTTAATAAACTAATTAATGGATCGGCAATCGAAGGATCAAGATCATTCCGAATTATCTTTTCTATTTTATCTCGTTCTTGTGAATTATTTCGAAATATTTTTCTTATTGTATCTCTTTGAATAATTTCAAATTGAACTAAAACTGAATATAATTCTTTTCCTTTATCTTGTTCTTCACGAATTAAATTTTGTTCATCTTTTGGATGTAAAATAAAATGAAATAGTTCTACTGTATCTCCAACAGCTTCTAATTTTCCTGTTATTTGATCTTGATAAAAATTTTCTTTTGAAGAAATTTTTTTGAAGGGTATGGGTGTGTGAATGTGGGTAGGGGTCTTCTCTTTATCTACACCCACACCAAAATTTGAACTTAGCTCTACACTATTAGAGAACCTAAAGAGAAATCTCTGATCAAAATGCACTTTTTCCTGGAAACGAACTTTCTTCAAAATAAAAGGCAAAGCAACCAGACTATTTAATTTAAATTGATTACAATAGCTGATTTTCCACATTAATCGTTTGAATAAGAAAACAATTATTAATGCCTTCATTCAATTTACTGATTTAATCAAATAAATAACAGACACAACAGATATACAAAGAGGTTAATACAAAAAAAAATCATATTGGATTTCTTCATATGAAAATACTGGCAAAGAGTTCGTTTGTCTTGATATTAAAATTCAAAAATTATTTTTCTCTTATGCAACCATGATCATATGATGCCTGATCTGGTGTACCTAATCATACTAATTGAATCTTGCGATCAGGAGTTCATATGAGTAAGATTTCTGGACTAATGATTATTTGAATTGAACTGAGGTCATTTGAAAAAAGAAACATAAATTAAATTTGAATAAATATTAGAACATAAAGAAAATTGTTTATGAATCTTATCAAAAGACTCATTGTTTAATACGTTACAATCGGGAGAAGTTACTTGATATTTTAAACAAAAAACTTTACACAAATATTCTTTAAGCATCAACATCAATCTGAATTCTATCATATATATCGAATATAAATATGTCAATAAGTCTTTTATTATAAGCCTTTTTATTGATAGAAACTTCTCATAAAAGTAACGAGAAGGATATCATTTCATAGGGGGACATTTGCAATTTTCTTTAAATATCATTTAGATCAAATTTTTCTTCTACTTTTCAAAGATTCACTTATACTTCTTAACATATGGTTCTTACGAAAATTCTTTTTCACGCATAGAACGTTAACACATCGTTATCAAAATTTTTTCATTGAAAGTCTAATGAGAAAAGAAATATTTGGTTGATTAATTAATTGATTTATTATTATTGAGATTTCTTTTACAAAATCAAATATTTGATCTATATATAATTTGTTTTCTAAAAAAAGCAGAGACACTTTTGAGTCAACGAAATTAACATACTTCGAGTATAACAAAATGTTTTCTTATTATTGTCAACATATAACAAACTAATTGAAATTATAAGATTTAAATAAATAAATATAAAGCATAAACAAAAGATACTTCATATTCAGATCAATTTTATTAACTAATAATCTTAGTAATTTCCTTTTATACATTATTTTATTATTTCTTTAGGTCATTCATGCATTGTAACGAGCTCTCTTCAAATGAAATGTTTTGCTTGTACATTTTCTCACCTATTATTTACTCACGTTTGTTCACTTTTTTTGGAAAGAAAAACAAAATAAATATCGCAATAAAAGTGTCCCTTTTACAAACACTCGATAACTACATCAGTTCATTGCATAACGAAATCGGCAAAAAAATACCAATTGAACAATGTCTATATTGATGGGAGAATTGAATAGTTTTTTATGACTATATTAAGTAATGAAGACCCTTCAATTTATTCTTTGTCATATCAATTACGGAAATTAAGACAAATCTAATAAAAAATATTCTAGTCTAGCTATGTATATACCTATTTAATTAATACTTTTTCTAATTGTCTTTATAAAATTATGGAAAACGGATATATGTCCGAATATGCCTGTATTATTTTCAAAAACATCAAAACTTAACAAGAAAAATACACAAATAAGTTGCTGAGTATGTTTTCTTTTTTTATGAAACCTCATAAGATCCCCATGCAATCGGAACAAAGAATATACTGACAATAATTTGATGAAAGATTCGAATAAACTAAATACTATGAAAACAAAAGAAAGTTCTTTTATCTGTTGAACAATTTCTGTAAGAGAGAAAAAAAATCATATGAAATGCACGAATACACCTACAATGGTCTATTACTATCATGAAATCATCAGATTGACAAGTTAATTTTTTACTTAAATTTGTTTTTATCGTCTATGAAGTTGCAATCTATAAAAACACAGAATATACTTTATTTAATTCTAAGCATATGATATAATTTCATAGACAGTGATTTTTTCAGTAACTAGAAACAATTATCTATTTCATTGATTAATATTAAAAATTCGTAAATATTTAAACAAACTGAATAGATTTGATCAATAAAAGCATTTAGTTTTTGAAATTTTCAATGAACAAAACAATTCTGTTCTTTCTTATATTTCTCAATTTTCATTACTCAGTTGATATGATCAATTAATTGATTTCACTTGCGCCTTCTGACAAGCGATGCATTGTTCAAGGGGAAAGAAAAACTTGTCACAAATGAAGTAAGAGCACGCCATTCTTCTTGTCTTTACGCATTACATTAGATTACGTTCCAAAGAAAGTGAAATGTGTAAAAATGATAGTGCTTATAAAATCTAAACTCAATTCATTCTGTCTACTAACATATTATCGTATGCAGTTTAGTATAAAAAACTATTCCCAAAAGCTAGAAATAGTATCGTTTTTGTCTCACTGTTTTCTATTCATAATCAGTAAAATGAGTAATTTTTTTGCCTGTAGATAGACGTGGAAAACAAAAAAAAACAACAATAATATATACTGAATAATCAGCTCTATATTTTGGGAGGAATTCATGACTACTGGTGCATGTCCCTCAACATTCTTTTTTTTATATATCCACAATCACGAAATGATTTATATTCATCACTATTTCTCTGAATTTGTGAATGCAATTGAATACATATAAAAGTCAGTAATACAGGTTATTGATAGTTTGTTGTGATATTTACAGAACGTGCTTATCGAAAAGATTTATTTTATACAGTTATCCTTCATAATAAGTGAATGATAGTTACTCCTTTATTACATTTATTGTCTACTCATAATTGATACATATGACCAAGAAAATTTAATTTTATCTTATGGCAAATTTTGATGATTATACCCATGTCAATATCTCAACTATTCTTAAAATGAAGATCACATTTTCTACAAAGTTAATATGTTCAATGAATCAGGCTTTGTAATCGAACGAGAAGTCTTCATTAAAATCAACTCGAGTTGATGAATTAACTTGTCTTAGGTCCTTATATAAAGATAAACCATTACAGTACACTAGAAGTTTGGTTATGTACGTGAAACTAAGAAATGTTTAAGTTTTTTATAAAACAGAAAAGAAAGGCAATAGTTGATAATTACTTTCTATAGGTATCATCTAATAAATTATAAAATTTTCTGATTACATTTTCTCTTTCTTTTGAAATTTAAAAAGAAAAACAAGGTTAAGTTACTCATACAATTTTACGTTTCCTTTTATCTATCAAAAAAAAGTATGTAAGGCAGAGTGGAAAAAAAAACTACTAATTCTAAAAATTCATTTTTGAGACAAAAACATTTTATATTCCGAAGTCATTATATTTTGGATTTATCGATAAATAAATACTTGTTCGACTACCCTCACTTATAGAGAAACGTCAATTTTTTTTTGTTTTTCGTTTTGCTAGGATTTCATCAATCAATCAGTTTCATTTTGTAGAAGATATTTTGGAAAATAAAATGCTATAACATGAGAAGATAGAAAGATAAATTAAAACAACAACTATCATCGAAATGATAAAAAAGGTACTTTTTGAAGAAAAAAACATTTCTTTAAAATTTCTTTCGTTTGTCATCGACATTTCAAGGATGTTTTATATTTTTGAGATTTCGAAAAGTTTTATGAGCAAAGACAAAAATAAAAACTTTATCTTTCTTCTAAAAATGAAGCATTCATTCATAATAGGGAAATGAGTTAGGAAAATAATTTCTTTTTGTAAAAACAAACAAGACACCAGAGTGTGAATGACTATTGTATTGTATGTTATCATCATTCGAGTATACCAATTATGATGATTTTAATAAAAGAAAAAGAAAACAATATGCAGAGAACTTTGAACAATTTTCATTTAAACTTGAAAATAAAATAGAACCATCTCTTATAGAGATCGACAAATGTCATGATATTTCTATAAATATTATCTTAGACGATAATGTAATTATGTAATAACAAAGAAAAAAAACTGAAAATAATTAGCACTAGTTTCTTCTGACATATAAAATTTATTGATAATACTTTTCATTTTAAATAACTATTTATAGAATAATTCTACATGAATTTAATAAACCAAGATTTCCATATGTCAAATACTCATGATCTCGAATGATGGTATAGTTAGACGTAACAAAGTCAGAAAAACAAAAGAAATATTGCCGTGAAAAATGGTCTGAAGGACATGCTTTATTGTAAAATAAAAAAATCTATAGCATTCTTAATACCATCATAATAAAGATTGTCAGTATCACTGTTGAATTGAAATTGTTTTGACTTGTTTCAAAATATTCATTTTCTATGAGAAATATACTATAAGTATATCAAAAACAAAATAATCTACTCGTATATTGTAATGTTCAATTATTATAAAACTATATTTACATCAAACTAATCGATTCAACTCATTTTGTGTAAAAAATAAAAGAACATGTTGATCGTAAGTGTTTGGACATCGAGAAATGTGTCCTACATAAGATCAAGTATCCTTTTTTGTGGAGAAGATGTAAAAAATACGTATAACATAATGAATATATGAGTCAGAATTATTATATCTTTCATTGAGATAGTCAAAGCCAAATTCATAAAAAAAATGTAGGTACCGTTAATCTACGTAAGAATGAAAGAGAGACATATACTATAGAACTACATAAATTAATGATTATACGATTGGTATTTTTATTCTCATCCACACAACAGAATTTTCTATTTTCAGAGAATTGATAGATGATTTCAAATTCTTTTTTTTATCAAGAGAGAGTAGTTTATTTTTCATCGAGTTATTTTTGTTTCGTGAGACTTTTCATAAAAATGAAATATTCATCCAAAGACAGGAAGGATGACTCGAAAAAAAACATGTTCTTTTTTGTTTATGTTTCATAATTTCGATTGATAATCGGCCAAATTAGTTCATATTTGCCTCGTTTCACATGAGAAGATAGAGCAAAATGAGACGAACATTTTCTTGTTTGAGGAACAATACTTGAAAACCTACTCGAGAAATACTAAAGGTTTTCAAAGTTCTCTCCAGTTGGAATGATTCGAATCACCCTAACTGGTGTAATTCAGATTACTATCTCAAGGTTCTCACGATTTTTATAAAAACTCTAGAGATAAATTTTGTTCGATGTAAGATAGTTGAACAATCATTGAGATAAATCAATTTTTTTGAATAGTGATCTGCGTGATACCAAATGGTTACATTCACTATTATAAAATCATCTCATGTTATTGTTAATTTTATTTTCATTGTTACTTTTTTTAAATGCGAAATGACAATATCATAATGAAGATTTCTTATAGCAAAACAAAAAAATAGCTATCGCTACTCGGCTTTTTCAACGAAGATTTAAGTGTAGTATCTGTTCTCCTCAGTTTGAAAGCCAGTGCTGATTTCATTAGGTTTAGGCTCTTTCACGCGGATTTTTGAATATCGGTTGAGACCATCCTAGTTCATCCAGAGTTATGCCATGAATCGTCTCAAAATTACAGTGTCATCTGGTTTGCTTGCTTTGTGTATGATGGAATGATTTTCGTTATCTGATAGAACTGTTCAACACATTACCCTTCGCTAAAAATTGGCAGCATGGAACTGTAGAATTAATATCAAGTTACTTTGTAAACGAGAACGACTAGCTAATATTTTATACTCACATTGAGCAACAATAAATACTTCTATTATTCGTTGTTCGTAGACCAAGAAATTAATTTGATTAATATGAATCATGAGCGAGGTTGAATACATGTTAGCTAATTATATTCAGAATGAATCTT